ATCAAGTATATAATTTCTCCCTTGAATTAGGTCCCTAATTTGCTATTTATTGAGCATGAATATGGCCAGGCATCAAGCACATTACATATTTTATTTTTCTTAACCTCAAAACCAGCCTACAGGGTAATTATTATTATTCTTACTAAAAATTAGGAAATACAGGCACAGGGAGATTAAATAACTTTTCCAGTAAGATGCCGTAGATATCCCTTAATCAGTGTTATATTCTCTCTGCCTTCTGTGTTGCTGGTTATATTTTCCTTCAGTCATCCAGATTTGACACCCTGGTGTCATGTTTGATCTTCCATTTACTTCACTACTCATCCATAATCACCTGTTCCATATTCCTTTGAGATTTTTCTTATATCTATTAATGCTAACTGCCAAAGTTTCTAGTCTAGATCTTTATAACATGTAGATTTTTGTATCATATTACTGACTGACTTCTAATAATTCTATTGTATTGTAACACAATATATAACTACATCTTATTGTAAATATATAAATTATAGAGAAGAATGCAGAGTAAAAAGTAAAAATCTTTTGTCATTATTTCATTATCTTTCATAATCTCCAGAGAAGTAAGCAATATAATTTTTAGTTTTTTTGTCTTTAAAATATAAATAAAACTATAGTGTTCTCATTACTCTGCGATTTACCCCTTTTCATCCAACAATATGTCTTGCAGATCTTTCTATGTCAGTGCTACAGAATTTTTACACAATAGATACTTGATGAATGTTTGCAAAATAAATCAAGTCTTAGACTTAATCACATACACCTTGCTCTGTTTTAATCTAATTGAAGCATTATTTTCTCCAAAGTTATAGATTATTATGTATCTCCTCTCCATTTTGCTTATTCTTAACCAACGTCCTTTATTGCAGGTAAGACATAGCAAAAAAAGTTATTTTCATTAAGTATCAATAAAATGTGTATGTGTGTGTATGTATGGTGTCATTTTATTGGATAATTTTTCGGATGTAAATGCCAAACTTATTCTCAGCGGTCTTGCGTACATTTCCAATTTCTTGAATATTTTTGAATATCAGTAGTTCTCAAACCTTAGCATGCGTCAGGTTCATTTGGTGATTTATTAAAATCCAGACTGCAGGGCTTCACCCCCAAATTTCTGATTCAATAGGTATGAAGTGAAGCCTGCAAATTTTCATTTCTAACAAGTCTCTGTGAGATGCTAATGCTCCTGGTCTGGGGACTACGCTTCGGGGATGGCTGATTTATATGACTCTCCATTGATGCTTTATACCTCTCAGGACATCCTGATCTCTTCTTGGCACTCACTGCTTACTGTACATGAGAACTACAGCTTAAAGAGAGTATTGAGAATGGCTGTGGTGGACAACCATATCTGGGCTGTGCATGCCCTTTCAGAATGGGGACAGCACAGACTCTAAAAGGCAGAATTGAGAAAATGACAGTTCTGCCAGCAGCTCAAACCACAGATTAAGGAACAATTTTTACATGTGCAGAGGATGGAAAGAACTATTGTTTGCCCATTAGTCCCTACAGCAGACGTGCTCTAGTGATTGCAATTTATGGCAGTCATGTCAATTTTGAGTTTGAAGGATGGCATTATAATGCCACTACATCCAGAAAACAATTTTTTATTCATATTCTTTACTTCCTGATGGGAGCTCAACCAAATAAAATTCTAGATATTGAGTGAGCTAATGCATCTAGTTAAATATTTACATCCATTTCATTGTTACGATGGATTCAGTACTGGTGTGATTTGCCTTGTAAATTTATTGTATCGATCAATTATACAAGAATCCAGAATTGGTGAATCAGAAAGGATTTTAAAAAAATTACCATAGAGTTCCTCTTGACAAATGTAGTAAAATTACTATGTCTTGGATCATTTGATTTACGAAAATTACTTGCTTATGTATAAATTGGACAGAGAAAATATATCATTTATAAACTTGATTATCCAAAATACAAATGTAATGTATGTACATAAAGCTTATATAATGGAATATTTTTTCTCAGAATAATGAGATATAGGAGATATAACCATACTTCTAAGAATTTAATCTGCTAGATAAATTATAATTCTTGTGAAGTTTTACGTATTTACACTTTGAGCAAACATTTTAATGTTGATGGATATGCAATGCACTCAGGATCAGGAAAACGCATAGGATTGATCAGTATATTTGATCCCTGTTGCTTCTTTGCTGGAAATATTTATGTGAAGAAAAATTGCCATTTCTGGAAATGCAGTCTAAAAAAAAGCCTGAGTATTTTAACTATTCATTTAGCTTTCGTTAATCATGCATACATCCATAAAAATATATGGTGTTTTTATTTGTTTGCTTAAACTCAATATAAGTGCATTATAATTGTATATATCATTCAGTTTCCTTTTGTCTTTCAACAATTTACTTTTAACCACTATATATTATTCCATTTTATATCCATATGTAAGTTTATCTATTTTTTTATGGTAAACATTCAGGCAATTTTCAAGTTTTCAATGCTACAATTCTTCAGTGAATGTTCTTGTAGCATATTTCCTTTGGCATGTAGTCTAAAAGTGAAATTGAGTAGTATACAAATATTCACATTTACCAGATATTGACAAATTGTTCTCTGGATTAGTTATGCCAAATTATATGTGAGGTTTTAATTTTGTCCAGCCTGAAAAATGTGAAATTGTATTTTATTGTTTTTATATTTAACATACTTATTGGTAATTACTAGCACAAATAGAAGCTGCGCTTCTTTTCTTTTAATTATTGTGTTTTCCTTTTCTGTGAACTCTCCATTTATATCTTATGCCAATTTTTCTACTTTGTTGTCTTTTTCTTATTGATTATAGGTCTCTATATAATCTGAATATTAATCCTATCCTTGGTTATAAACTTTGCAAACATTTTCTCCAGGTCTGTGGCTTGTATTTTAATTTTATTTCATAGTAATATTGTTGCAGAAGTTTTTAACTGTGGTATAATAAATATTATCAATCTTTTACCTTAAGTTTGGTATGTCTTTTTCTTTTTGTCTTGTTTAAAAAAACTTTCTTAGTCCGATATCCTCAGAAAGTTTTAAAGTTTACATTTTTCATTAGATCTTTAATCTATGTAGAATTATTATGTATGTTATAGGTAGCATGAACTTATTTTTTTATGTGGATTATTACAGTATCAGCATTATTTGTTGAATAATTTATCTTTTCATGACTAATTTATATTTTTTGAATTTGTTTGAGTTTTTTTATTATATTCCATTGACTTATTTTGCCGTGGTAGAAAACATGCATTTCTATTTTTTGTGAGTTCATTAAGTGGTCACCTCAGAATGTTTCATGCCTTTCATAATTTCAATTGGATAAACAGTAGTCTGTAGACAAATATGGCCCCTGATATTAACCAATGTGGTAGTCATTAGTGCAGTCTACCAAACGTTTCTAGTTCTCCCAACTTCTAGGAAATGGTAGAATTGCACTTTCTACTCTCTCTGTGTTTAGGCACGACCGTGTGACTTACTTGCCATTGGGTTCATTCCTGAGTAGAAGTTTTAAATAGAAGCTCCAGGAACCAGCCTGGGATTTGCCACATTTTCCAGTCCTGCCTCAGCCATCATGGAAATATGGAGGGAGAATCCTCTGGTAGACATAGAGGTGGATATAGCGCAGAGCCCCAGATGATCTTAAATGGACATGTAGCTGAGTGAAAAATAAATCTTGATTGTCTTAAACCACTGAGATTTTTGGAGTCGTTCATTACTCCAACATAACCTGGCATATCTTGACTGATATAGTTAATATGTAATTGCAATTTGATGTATGGAAAAATTGTAAACAAACACCTTGCATTTGTTAGTAGGTGATATTTATATTTAATGTTTCTTTTTCTTTTCAATTGCTTCTTGTTCCTTTTTCTACAATGTCACTCATATTCCCCAATACCTGTGACTTGCCAGACCAATTGGAACTAATTTTTTCATGGCCTGTATTCCCTCTCCCAACCTATAATTTCTCACCCAGCTTGTATTTCTTCCATCAAGCCAGCATTTCCTTTCTTGAAGAGTTTACATTTTTAAAGATGATACTTGAAAAGATCAGCGTTTTACCTTAAATCTTTAATAATCAAGATCAACTTTATGACCCTATAGTGAGGGGTCATTAGTGAAAAGTGGGCTTGCTCAGCTTCTCCTTATTATCACATAGGTGGCTACTGACTTGATATACATCTTAGACTGGCTCTGACATTAAAATTCATAATCATTTGTTGGGCTGGCTAATCCCATTCACAAACCCGTGTGTTCAGTATCTGACTCTTATACTTCTGGAATGTTTATTATCTGAAAGAAAAAGAGGGTAAAGATAAGAAGTAGAGATGGCATTAAGAAAATACTTCCCCGGGCAGAATTATCTTTTTCACATAATCTTTCCACTGATGAAAATTTTCTTTATATTAACAAGTTCTCTTTAAACATGCAAAATCATCTCATGTTATGGTGGGTTGGGCAGTGATGAAGGTAGGGAAAAAAGAGAATTAATGCCCAGAGAACTACATTTTTAATTGTTCACACTTTAATGTGAAATGTATGAGTTCTTTGCTTGGAATGTTTGCCTCCTAATACCTAGAAGGTATTAGGTGAGGCAGTGGACAGTTGGAAGATGATGAAGAGTAATTTTAGAGCATGAAACACAGCAGGTTTACATGGTAGACCCACCCTAGAGGGTTTGGATTTGACAGGAAAAGGACATAGGACCTCTCAGACAGAATGCAGGTGTAGAAGGAACGTGGGAGCCAGCAGCAGCCAAATTTCTGTTCTGTAATTTTTTAGAGTGTCCTCATGGGGGTTACAGACATCCTGAAAAATCATCTTAAGTATCAAAAGCTACCATTTTTTTTTCATTAAGGAATATCAAACATTTTTGATGTTAGAATATTTTCTTGCCAAACTTCCTGCTCCTTAAAAAGTGAATGTTGATTGGTTAATTAAAGTTTACATCTCTCTCTTTTTAGGTGGTTCTTTGGAGCAATCAAGAGAGCAGATGCAGAAAAACAACTATCATATTCAGAAAATCAGACTGGTGCCTTCCTAATCAGAGAAAGCGAAAGCCAGAAAGGAGAATTTTCCCTTTCAGGTATGGGCATTGTTTTGTGTGATTTAAGTATGGGTTTGAGAGTCTGGAGTTATGAACCTACTGTATAAATATAGACATGTCAATTTTAAATTTGCCCTATTATCTTCACAATAGTACCAAAATTTTATCTACCAAGCTGCTCCAGAGTAATATAAAAATTAACTAGAAGTCTCTATAAACAGTTTCGAATACATGCACTCTAAATATGAAATATAAAAACATGTGGGTCTGGCTGTGTTTTCTCCCTTGCATTATCAAGGATCCTATCCTTCTAAGGAAATAATAAGCAAGAAGCAAAGACTACACTGTTGTCAAAATTGATCTTGCCATAATACATTTTTTTTTTTGCATTTCATTTATCTTTGCCTGGTATATAGAAAATGAGTTGAAATGCTGAATTCAAATGCATTTAATTAACTATGAAATGTAACATTTTGTTAAATGTAGTTTTCCAGCTAAAAGTCAAGTACATGTTTGTTTTACACTGCTCTAGGAAAGAATAAGTACAGGGGACTTGAGAATTATCTTTGAGAGTGACAGGTGCTAACATACATGTCTCTTCTTTCAAGAATCTGTGTTTGTTGGTGTATGTTCCAATGCTGCAGAATGCCCTTTCTTAAAAGACTACTCCAGTCCATCTCTCGTGCGAGACTTTCTCCTTGCACTTCTCTGATCTCTGTATTGTCCAATCACTTGTGTTATTATTCCTTGTATAGCAAGTATTTTGTTCCTCCAACTAGATATAAGCCTTTTGGGAGAAGAGATCTTGCCTTCCTTTATCTCCGTTGCCCGGCAATAAATATTTATTAAACGTGATGCCTGTGCACCTCGTTGTGTCTGCCTGGCTCACTGACCTGGACAACACAATTGGACAGCCTGCACGGCACAATATTGAAGCAGATCCTGAGACCACAGGTCCTGAGAAATTTGACCTAACCTGACCTTAGGGCAAACTGCGTGTGCTTACTATACCCATTTTTCGTCCTCACACTTGGTGGCCCCAAATATTGGGGAAGATGGGTTGGAGCTGAAGTGAATTAAGGGCAATGGTGTCAAGGTTTGCTTTTCAGAGGCTCTGCCCTCCGGTTTCTGCTTATTCTGACACCAAGTCAATATGATATTCCAGAATTGTGTGGGTTCAGCTCCACTCCTACCTAGTTACATATCAAATTACATAGTAATTATTTAGTCAAAAGCTGATTTACATGTTTTATGTTGACATTAGAATATAGAAGAGTTATATTTCCATGAGGAAAACAAACTAAAATTATATGAGTCATATCTTTGAATAATGCCCAAGCTACTGTGACTATTCTGAAAACTCTCTAAGTAGAATATTATGGAACAAAATGGCTTTAAAGGCTTAGAACAAAATGACAAGGATATTGGCTGTTATGTGCTGGGAATACTCTAGCACTTGCTTATGGATTAGTAAGCTTTGTAGGCCCTGCTTGGAGACCAATATACCATTACAGATTCTTTTTCAATGAAGTCAAACAGTCTAGAGTAATTCAAACAAATTATCTGATTGCATTCACTGGGGGACAAAGTAAATGCAGATCATTATGTTCTATGGAAAGGAAAATTTCTTTAGCCAGCAGGAGGGCTATACAGGAGAAAAATGGAAAGAAAAAGATCTTTCATATATCTACATTAAAACAAACAAACAAATAAACAAACATCACAAATGCTGACTGTTGATCACCACTAAGGATCTTCAGATATACCCTTCATGGGCTTATTTCTTAGTGCAGTTGTCTCCTTAATCACTCAGAATGGATGGTCTTCAATTTTGCTGACTGCTGTGCTGTTAAAGGAAGGCAAATAATATCCCTTTCTATCCCTGTCTTTCCCATGTGAGTTTTCTTTAGAAGTATTGTCTTTATTTCTTGGGCGGCAATGGCTCGCAGTTGACAGAAATAAAGCTTCATGAGGGAGCATGATTTATTGAGGCTTAGAGGAGGGGCTCCAGAAGCAGCAGTCCAAAGCTGGGGTGGGAGCTAATTGGCTTGTGATCCTTGCATGGCTGTTGGCTCTTGTGAGGTCTGAGTAGATCTGGGAAGAGAGTTAGGGCCAAGACACCTCTTATAACGGCAAGACACTAATTAGCTGTGAATTACAGCAGTGCTTTTGGATATTACATATTATAGATAGCAGCTATGGAATCCGCCTTTATTAAATGCATGATAGGTAGCTTGAGTGGCCTTACTGTTCTTTGTCATTGATAGTGAATCTTTTTTTTTTTTTTTGAGGAAAAATATAAAATTCCGAGTGCATGTCAATTTTTTTTAGCCATTTCTCGACTTCAATCACTTACTTTAAGGGCAGTTATTATTGTTAATACCATTCACATTAATTTGATGGTTGGTGTTCTATAAGCATTTGAGTTATTATTTAAAGTGCACTTTAAGGAAAATGTACTTTGAGAACTAAAATTGAGCAGCAGGTAAATTTTTCAGAAGAGATTCTGCATTGCAAATTGTAAGTTTACGTTAGACAACTCTGCATATAAAAACCTCCAGAGTAGTGGAGGGAATTCCAGATTCATCTTCAGTGAAACCCCCTTAAGAGCAAATGATGATAGATTGAAGATAGTTGAACAATGGCTGCACTGAGGACGTGAAGCAAAAAAGCTCATAGGCAACATTCAGGGCAATGCATCTAAGAGTCGACATTTATTTACATATTTGTTTATTCCTTTGACAAACATTCGAGGTGCCTACTACATGCCAGGCCTTTGCTAGGTGAAGAGCAGCAGAGACACAAGGCCCAGCCTCTGAACTCAGTCCTCAGGAGGATTATAATACAGCTGTCTTGCTGTGAGACAGGAGGGGGCAGGGGCCGAGTTTCTGAGGGGGCGTCTGGAAGGTTTCGTAGAAGAGAGAGCGTTTGGGTTCTGTACCAATTCATGTCACAAGGCAGCAGTGTAGGAATGATTATTCCTGGTAAGGTAAGTATGCAGAGTTATGAATATGTCTGATGTATTGTGGAGTAGAGTGTAGGAAGGGTAGAAGATAGCGTGTGTGTGTGTGTGTGTGTGTGTGTGTGTGTGTGTGTGTGTGTGTAGCAGGGATGGAGGAAAGGAGGAATGGCAGAAAATGAGCCTGGAAAGGGAAGTTGGAGCTAGACTGTTCAGGGCCTTGCATATCATACTGAGGATTTTGGACCTTATTCTACAGAGGAAAGCGTTAGGCAGAAAGTGACCTGATCTGACCTTTGATAGCAGTGTGGAGAATGGATGAGAGCTTTATAGATAATAGTCTGAGGAGGAGTGAGGGGGACAAACAGTGACGTCACTTGCTGCTGTCTAATATCGCAGGTGCGAGACAGGAGAGTTAGGTCAGCATTCTGTCTAGAGAGACAGTGGCACCCAAGCTTGGCTGATTGCACTAAGGCTCTGCACTGGCACGGGGTGACCCCAGAAGCCACAGGTCTCTCTGTTGCTCTCCTTGTTTTATGGCAGCAAGTATGGAAGTGGCCCTAGTATTAGGAGTAAAAGTCTTTGCTTTGGTGCTAAGCAGTCTGAATTTGGATATCAACTGCATGCAGAGTTTTTTGGAAATCCCAGGGCCAATGAGCTTTGGGTGCTGTGGGCAATTGCAGCTCCTTTTTCATGGAAGAGGAAACTATGGACCTGTGGGAAGTTGAGTTCAGCTGTAGCCCCTTTTGTCAGGCATAGACAGTGATGGTGGGATGGGCCCCGTGTGCCCAGAAAGAGCTCCCAGGATTCTTTACTGGACAGTCCTATTCATCTCCACAGATGATGGCCTGAACCAGGGCAGAGGTATGGCAAACAGAGAATAGAGAATGGAAGTGAGGAATATTTAGAAGATAGAACCACCAGGAATTGGTGGCTGATCTTGGTAGAATAAGGAAGAAATTAGAATCTAGTCTGAACTTCAGATCTCTGATTTGAGTGATTGGGGGAGAGTGGTGACTTTAGCAAGATGAAGTGTATAGGAGATGATTTACAGGGAGAGAGGAGAGAAGACCAAAGGAGATAATCTCAGGGGTGTTTGAGGCAATTGCAGGTGAACATCTGAGTAGTTATTGTTGTGGTTTTTTTTTGTGTGTGTGTGTGACATTTCTGCTGGTTTTGAGCAGAGTATTTATTATGATAAGTTTCCATTATAGTAAACGTGCAGGTCCCATGGAATATGCAGGGATCTCATAATGATACTTTGTGATTGCTATGCTGTCCCTTCTGAGAATATAAGACATGCCTCTATAGTGACATAATTTAATTTTTAAATAAATATACTAGAATTTTTAGCCCCAAATAAATGTTTTATCCTTAAAAGTAATAGATTGTCATTGCTCAAACTATTGCACAAATGGTAGAACTCTCTTTATAGAAAAGATATCACTTTATGTTAAAGGCCCTTAGCTGGGGTAATTATGTGTTCATTAAGGGCAGCTTTGATCCTTGAAAATGGCCAGAATTATCTGAAGCAACTTACTGGATAATCTGGATGATTAACTTGAATGATATCATGGACTTTATAACTTTATAAATATTTCTGCATGTCATAAATTAATTCTTACAGCAATTAAAAAAGTAACAAGAATAATAGTTTCGTTAGGGAAGATATGTACTTTTTTCTTGTTGACCTTGTGTATATCCTTCATGTTGAACTTACATATTCAAAGATTCATTTATATTTATCAGTAACTCTTTCACCATGGGTAAAAATGTACTTCTAAAACTAGATTATAAACTTTTTGAGCAGAGGAAACATATTTTTATTGCTTTTGTTTCATGCTTCTCTATCTCCATAGTTTCCAGTGTATAAAGATAATAGATGCTCAAACACTCACCTCTTTACCCTCTATTCTACCAGGAGCAAAGACAACCAAGGCCATTGTCACTTTCTTAAACCTCTGAAGTTTGGACCATGTAATTCTCTTATTTGTTGTGTTCAGACTTATTTTAGAGATATAGTTTCTCACCTACACAGGTTAGTTGTGTCCAGGTAATAAAACTTTTGTAGAGCTAACAA